TAGTAGCAGTAGTAGTAGTAGTAGTCCGAAACAAGAGTCAAAAGTATTATTCCCTGGCGCGCTCCCCCTTGCGTCTGCCGGGGTCGGCGGATAGTTTTCGACCAATTTTTATACCACTGTTTGTACAATGAGACATAGAACCCTCCTGTTGCTCCTGTTGCTGCTGCTGCTCATGGCCACCACTCGAAACGCTGAAACGCCACCTAATTTCGTGCCCAAAACGCTCCAAAATCGAGCCCAAAAAGTGCCTAACGTCCCTTCTGAAACCCTAGAAAAACAATAAACAATATAGTTTTGGACAAGGTTTTATAGTTTTCGACCAATTTTTATACCACTGTTTGCACAATGAGACATAGAACCCTCCTGTTGCTCCTGTTGCTGCTGCTGCTCATGGCCACCACTCGAAACGCTGAAACGCCACCTAATTTCGTGCCCAAAACGTTCCAAAATCGAGCCCAAAAAGTGCCTAACGTCCCTTCTGAAACCCTAGAAAAACAATAGTTTTGGACAAGGTTTTTTGGTTTTCGACCAATTTTTATACCACTGTTTGTACAATGAGACATACAACCCTCCTGTTGCTCCTGTTGCTGCTGCTGCTCTTCCTCCCGAGGCTGAAAACGCACCCTCCCGGACGGGGAAACACAGTGGCCCTGAAGGACGGAACAGCGCCAAAATCGAGGCCAAAAAGTGCCTAACGTCCCTTCTGAACCCTAGAAAAACAATAGTTTTGGACAAGGTTTTATGGTTTTCGACCAATTTTTATACCACTGTTTGTACAATGAGACATAGAACCCTCCTGTTGCTCCTGTTGCTGCTGCTGCTCTTCCTCCCGAGGCTGAAAACGCACCCTCCATGACGGGGAAACACAGTGGCCCTGAAGGACGGAACAGTGCCAAAATCGAGCCCAAAAAGTGCCTAACGTCCGTTCTGAAACTCTAGAAAAACAATAGTTTTGCGACAAGGTTTTATAGTTTCAACAATTTTTACCCTGTTTGTACAATGAGAAATAGAACCTCTGTGCTCTGTTGCTCGCGGCTCTTCCGCCGAGGTGAAACGCACCTCCCGGACGGGGAGGAAAACAAGTGGCCCTGAAGGACGGAACAGCGCCAAAATCGAGCCCAAAAACTCCCTAACGTCCCTTCTGAAACCCTAGAAAAACAATAGTTTTGGACAAGGTTTTATGGGTTTCGACCAATTTTTATACCACTGTTTCTACAATGAGACATAGAACCCTCCTGTTGCTCCTGTTGCTGCTGCTGCTCTTCCTCCGGAGGCTCAAAACCATAGAACCCTCCTGCTGCTCCTGTTGCTGCTACTCTTCCTCCGAATGCCGAACGTAACTTCTGAAACCCATAGAAAAGAAGAAGGATGGAACGACCTCCAAAAACATGCTGTCCCGAGGCTTGACGTCTCTTCTGGATTCTGGTAAAAACAAAGCGCCTGCTGCTGCAGATGCTTTTGCTGCTGCTGCTATTGGTCCTCGGATGGGAACATAACAGCTGCTACTGCTGCTCCTGCTGCTGGTGCTGCTGGAGCAGGTGCTGCAAGCCTCCGAAACACACCCTTCGCCACACCGAAACACTGTACTGCAGCTGCTGCTGCTGCTGCTGGTGATAGTTTTCAACCAGTTTTTGTACCACTGTTTGTAAAATGAGACATAGAACCCTCCTGCTGCTCCTGTTGCTGCTGCTGCTCTTCCTCCCGAGGCTCAAAACGCACCCTCCCTGACGGGGAAACACAGTGGCCCTGAAGGACGGAACAGCGCCAAAATCGAGCCCAAAAAGTGCCTAACGTCCCTTCTGAAACCCTAGAAAAACAATAGTTTTGGACAAGGTTTTTTATAGTTTTATAGTTTTCGACAAATTTTTATACCACTGTTTGTACAATGAGACATAGAACCCTCCTGTTGCTCCTGTTGCTGCTGCTGCTCTTCCTCCCGAGGCTGAAAACGCACCCTCCCGGACGGGGAAACACAGTGGCCCTGAAGGACGGAACAGCACCAAAATCGAGCCCAAAAAGTGCCTAACGTCCCTTCTGAAACCCTAGAAAAACAATAGTTTTGGACAAGGTTTTATAGTTTTCGACCAATTTTTATACCACTGTTTGTACAATGAGACATAGAATGAGACATAGAACCCTCCTGT